AGCAGAGGGACATGCTGCCGTGCTCGGCTGTGCCCTCCTTCAGCAGGGAGATCCCCCACCCCGGGCCCCTGAGGTAAAATCCAGCCCCTGAGGTAACCCCGGGCCCCTGAGGTAACCCCGAACCCCTGAGGTAAAATCCAGCCCCTGAGGTAACCCCGAACCCCTGAGGTAAAATCCGGCCCCTGAGGTAAAATCCAGCCCCTGAGGTAACCCCAAACCCCTGAGGTAAAATACAGCCCCTGAGATGAATCCAGCTCCTGAGGTAACCCCGAAGCACTGAGGTAAATCCTGCCCCTGAGGTAACCCTGGGCCCCTGAGGTACATTCAGCCCCTGAGGTACATTCAGCCCCTCTGGGGCCCCCCAGCCCCACAGGGACCTCTGGTCCCGGCCCCTCAGGTAAGTCCTGGACGGGACCCCAGCCTCCCAGGCGATGTGCAGCCCCTCAGAAGACCCCCGGACCCACAGGCAGCCCCAGTCCCAGCTCCTCAGGTAACTCCTGGCCCCAAGCCCAGACCCATGGGTATCCCTGGCCCTGCAGGTAACCCTGTCCCACGTCCACACCCTGTCCCAGAGGCCCCTGCCCTGTCCCGCTGCCTGGTCACCTGCCTGGCGAAAAGCAGCATTATTTTGGCTTTTCAGCCCTTGCCTGCCTGGCTCAGGCTCTGTCTTCCCCTGGAGCTGCCCTCCCTGGCTGCCAGAGGAGCTCTGGGGCCGGCAGCAGACACAGGACAGGGCAGTTTAGGGGTTTCAGTTGGGTTTTCAGCCTGAGACGCAGCTCTGAGAGTGACTAAAGTCACCCAGGGAGGAAACTTACCCTGCGCTGCCTCCACATGCCTTGGTAATAAAGTGGATTCTCCCTTCTTCCCACTGGGCAGGAGCTGCTCTTCAGTTCCAAGGGGTGGGGGCTTTCTTGCAGGTTATTTTCCAGGTTTCCACTCTGTGTATGGCAGCAAATGTCCCTGTAATCTGCAGTGACCCAATGCCCACCTTCCTGGGAAGCAGGGGTGGAACAGGGCCAGCACTGGGAAGGGAGGCTGAAGGGAGTCGTGGGACTGTTGTAAAGAGGGGATTTCAGAGCTGGAGAAAAAAGGGGGAATAGGTAGAAAAGGGCAGAGCTGATATACCCCTGTGGAGACCACCCAAATTAATACCGTTAAATGATTCCCTGCCCTTGTGCTATGGGGTGAATTAGCCTGAGGGATTTGTGCTGTAGGATATGGGTGACACCAGGACCTTGGCTGGATTTAAAAGAAAGAACAAGGGTTTTTCCCCAGTATGTGACAAGTGTCAGATAAACCCTCCCTGTCCAGAAGGTGTGAACCACATCGGCAGGGTGTGCTACAACCTGCCCAGCCCATTCCTCTCCGGATGTCATGCCAAGCGCAGGGAGTGCCTAGAGGCAGTGCTGACGTGACAGTGTCCAAGTCCTGCCTGCCCCTTCCCTCCCAGGGCCCCTGGCTGCTTCACACAGCGCTCTGCACTGAAGGGCTTTCCTCCCCCAGGGAGCCATGGCAGAGAAGATCCTGGTGACTGGCGGAGCTGGCTACATTGGCAGTCACTGTGTGCTGGAGCTGGCGGAGGCTGGCTATGTCCCTGTGGTCATAGACAACTTTCACAATGCCATTCGAGGTACGGAGAGCCTTCCTGTACAAGGGGCTCGACCCCTCTCAGCCTGTGCCGGGACCTCTGGCTATCCCAGCACCTCATCCCCTTCCATCTCTCCAGGGGCAGACGCGCTCCCTGAGAGCCTCCGGCGTGTGCAGCAGATTGTGCACCAGCCCATCCTCTTCCAGGAGCTGGATATCACCAATGAGGTAGCGCTGCAGGAGCTCTTCAGTAAGGTAAGAGCAAGAGCTACAGTGCTCCAAGGTGGCCTCATGGGCTCTGAGGGGTGAGAGGGGTTTGTGCTGGGGGTGGGAACCAGGAGGGAAATGTGGACTGCGCAGGAGCTGAGCGAGGAAGACAGTGCTGAGGAAATGCTGTGACCAGTGAATGTTCCTCTGGGCCATGGAAACTACATGGGCTGACTGAATGAAACTCCTGGGGAGACTTCTGACTGGTTTCTGCCTGGAGCTTCTGTCTCCTATTGCCGTGGCACTGACACCGAGCACCTTCTCCCTCTGCAGCACCGTTTCTCAGCCGTGATGCACTTTGCGGGGCTGAAGGCAGTGGGGGAGTCTGTGCAGAAGCCCCTGGAGTACTACAGGGTGAACCTCACTGGGACCATCCGGCTGCTGGAGGTGAGTGGAGCTGGGAGGGCAGCGTGTGGTGCTCGGGGCCACACGGGTGCTGGGTGACTGGTGCTGGGTGTGATCCTGCTCTGGGGTGGCTGTGCTGGCTGGCAGCCTGGTCCCTGTGGTGTTCCCTGTGCCTGGGCCCTGTCCCAGGGGTGTAATGGTGCCTGCATGGTGGGAGCTGCTGCCTGCGGAGGGCTGAGCTGCGCGGCTGAGCTGGAGGGTGCAGATCTTGCTGGCTCAGTGGCAGCTGGTCCCTGCTCCCCAGACCATGAAAGCCCACGGCGTGAGGAACATCGTGTTCAGCAGCTCTGCCACTGTCTACGGAGACCCCAAGTACCTGCCCCTGGATGAGAACCACCCAGTTGGAGGCTGCACCAACCCCTATGGCAAATCCAAGTACTTCATTGAGGAGATGATTCGAGACCTCTGCAAAGCGGAGAGGGTGAGGAGCTGCCCAAAAGCACGCAGGGCTGGGAACTGAGGTCTTTTCCCACTGGAGCGTGCTGGGGTGACCAGGCAGCACTGTGCAGCACTACACCCTCCCCAGGCAGCCACGTTTGTGTGTGTCCCCAGGACTGGAATGCCGTTCTCCTGCGCTATTTCAACCCCATTGGTGCCCACGAGTCGGGCATGATCGGAGAAGATCCTCAGGGGATCCCGAACAACCTCATGCCCTACGTGGCACAGGTACCGCCCCGCTGCAGCCTTTGAGGACCCTCCTGCTCGCAGTGCCTGTGCGGGGCATGGGCTGATGGGGGTCTCCCTGTGTGCAGGTGGCAGTGGGGCGCCGGGAATTCCTCAGCGTGTTTGGGAATGACTACAAGACGGACGATGGAACAGGTACATCGCAGAATGGGTGGAGCAGAGACACCCCATCCCCTGGGGCAGCTGTCGCAGCTCCTCAGCCTGGCTGCGCCCTGGACAGGAGGGCTTTGCGCTCACCCTCTGTGTCCCCACAGGTGTCAGGGATTACATCCATGTTGTGGATTTGGCTAAGGGCCATATCGCTGCTTTGAAGAAGCTCAAGGAGAACTGCGGCTGCAAGGTACCAAGGGGGCCGTTGTCTGGGGTGCTGTCAGCCCTGCTGGGGCTGGGCCAGGGCTGGGCTTTCACAGCCCTAGGGGAGCTAAAAGGGGGCCTGGCCCTTCTCCCCTTCCAGAAAAAGCTGACTTATGTCCCTTATCCTCCTCCCAGATCTACAATCTGGGTACAGGCACCGGTTATTCCGTCCTGCAGATGGTCCAGGCCATGGAGAAAGCCTCGGGGAGGGAGGTAAGGTCTGACTCAGAGCCTGCAGGGCCACCGGCACAGAGCCAGCTGCTCCCACAGGCTTCCCTTCGCCACCCCAAGCCATCACTGCCTCAGCAGCCCCTGTGCCTGTGTCTGTGGCAGCCACTGGCACCGTTCCCTCAGCTCCTGGGCCTCAGACAAGTCCCCTCTGCTGGGCCCCAGGAGCCCTCAGACCCCACGGTGCTGCTTTCCCTGCAGATCAAGTACAAGATCACCGGCCGGCGGGAGGGAGATGTGGCCTCCTGCTACGCCAACCCAGCGCTGGCCGAGCGTGAGCTGGGCTGGAAAGCTGCCTTTGGCCTGGACAAGATGTGTAAGAGCATCCCCTTCCCCGGCATGCTGTGTGCTGTCGGCTGCCCCCCTCCTGGCCCACCCCTCACCGCCATTCTCCCTGTTGCAGGTGAGGACCTGTGGCGGTGGCAGCTGCAGAATCCCACAGGCTTCAGCAAGAACTGAGCTGTGGCCCAAGGGCTCACCTGGCTGCTGTGGGTTGCTCTAGGCCAGCTCTGCCTGCCTCCCCAGCGAGACTGTGATCATCCTGGGTGCAGTTCCAGCTCCTCCTCCTGCCTGTTGCGTGGGGCAGGAAGGCAGGAGCATCCCTAGCCTCTCTACTCCTCATCCTCATTCCCCCAGGTCCTTTGCATCTCATAGAGTGGAAACACAAGAAGAACAGAGCCGGGGCCCAGCTTTGGCACCCAGGGCACAAAACCTCCTTGTGGGAATGCACAGGGGCTGGTGCCAGCCCCAGCAGGGAGAAGGCGCTTGGCTGGGCCCTGCAGCTGCTCTCAGACCTGCTCCTGGGCCTTCCCTGTGCTTTGGGAAGTGGCCACCTCCAGCACCCAAATAAGCGAGTCCTGTCCGGCCCAAATTGCAGATGAAACCACCCATTCCCTGCTGCATCCAGCGCCCAACCTGCCCAGCTTGGGGAGCAGGGGTGGTTCCCAGTCTCGGCAGGGGAAAGCCGGGGCACCCACTGCCCCCTGCCCTGGGCAGGGAGAGGGCTGCTCAGCTGCTGAGCACCTACCTCATGGCCTCGGGCCCCAGGAACACCCAGACCCCCGCACTCCTGCAGGGACCAGTCACATCCTGAGGCCACCATGGCTCATTTCCCCAGCCCAGCTCCCCAGGGCCAAGGCCCTAATGGCTGCCAAGGGCTTCCCCCCCACACCCCTTTTCCCCTGCACCCCCCCCAGCATGGTTTTGGGGACCAAGTCTCATCTCCTACATATTCCTGCCGAGCCAGAGGAGCTCCTGCCCCTGGCTGTGCCAGCCCTGGGCATGGCCAGCCTCACCAGGCTGCACGCAGCCCCTCTCCACCGCTGCCATTAGATTTGGCTGGTGCCTGGTTTTGCTTCCATGTTGCCTGTGGCAGCCGCTTCCATAATCACATTGCCAAAGGCTTCCCAGGAGAAGGCTCTGCTCAGCTGTCAAATACTGGTCCTATTTATTGCTGGCAGTTCTAACGGCTTCATTAGGCAGTGATGACGCAGTCAGCCCGGTTTGCTGTCAGTTGGATTAATAACTTATGCTACTAAATTATGAATTGAGCTTTTGATTTGTTTTTAAATAAACTTTCTTACTTTCTAAGTGGCAGCTCTGTTCTGCTTCCACTCAGCCGGAGCTGCTCCCCCTGGGGCCTCGTGCTAATCTGCTCCCCCCAAACCTCCGTTACAGAGGTGCTGACGGCGCTTCCTGCCCGGCCACGAATGACGGCAACTCGGCTCTGGGAGAGGCTTATGATTTATTTAACCTTGTTTCCGACTCTGTGGAACACACACACAAAAAAACCCCAAACATTTACAAGGAAGACAAAAGAGAGAGAAGAAGAAGAAAAAAAAAAAAAAAAACTGTATTGAGGAATGGAGAGAAGCCATTCTCCCTCCCGGGTCCTCAGCACAGCCCCGGCCAGGCACGTGCTGCTCAGGCGGGGAGCGAGCAGGAATGCTCTGCAAAGGGGCCAGCGTGGCCACGAGTCCCGGGCCCCCGCTACACACACAGTTCCAGTTCACAGTCAAATAGGTCAGTCTGTCCGTCCGCCAGCCCTCAGGTAACCTCTGCAGGGAGCTGCGTTCCCATCCCAGCCAGCCCCTCTCGCCTCCCCACCCGCCGAGCGCAGGGAGGGGAGGACACAGCAGCTTTAAAACAAAGTAGAAGAAACAGCAGGACTGAACCCCAAGCAAGGGGAAGAGCTGGGCTCCCCCCAACACCAGCAGCAGGTTTGCTGGTTTAAGACTTCCTAAAAGGGGAGAGGGGAGAGAAAAAAACCAAACCCCAACCCAAAATAACCCAAGAAACCAACCAAGGATGGGTCTGACAGATCCGACTCTCCGGAGAGCGGGTTATTGCTTTGCGCATCCCAGGCGGGGAGGGCACGGCTGGAGCAGAGCTGCTGGCATCGAGCCCCCCACTCCCCGCTTGCCCCCCCCAGAGCAGCCCTCGCCCTCCAGGAGATGCCGGCCCCGGCACTGTGAGCCCGGCCACGGGGCACCAAGCAGAGGGTCTGCGGGTCGAGGGGCCGGACAGGGCATCAACCCACACAGAGCCGGAGCACACGGGAGGGAGCAACGGCCCTTAGGCTAGGTGGGTTTTGTGGTGTATTTTTTTTTAAAAGACATGTACAGCTCCAGCCCCGAAGGGCCCAACAGTGCTGTGGGCTCAGCCCATGGAGGAGAGGCGAGGAGAAGGGCAGCGCTGCTCAACAGCAAGTGCCCTCGGCCCTGCGGGAGGGGAGGGGGGGCAGCCAGAAGCCCACCCGCGGAGACATTCGGGGCCCTGTGCCCAGGGAGCTGCTCTGCTTGGTGGGGACGGGCCAGGCCCCACGCCCCAGCCAGCCACGGCACGGCCAGGCCACCGCTCAAGAGAGGACAAACCTTGGCTGCAGCCGGGTGTGAGGGAGCCCGGGGAAACCTTTGATTGTACACGGAAAGGCCAACAGAGCCCACAGCCCTGGCCCTGGGAAGCACGGAGACCCCCGTGCTGCCCTGCAGGATGGGGTACAGCTGTACCCAGGTGTTAGATGCTGGTGAGATGATGGCTGGGAGCAAACCTGCTTCCTCCAGCTGCGCCAGCCTGGGCCAGGAGCCATCCCTGGGGGTCGGGGGGACCTCTCCTCACCTCTCCTCTCCCTCCCCAAGCCAGCCCAAGTCCAAAGGGAAGGAGAAGTAGCAGCAAGAGAGACGTTAAGGACCGGGCCAGCGCCGGGCAGGCTCCATGGCAAAGCTGCTCGGACGCCAGCTGTAAACGGCAGCGCTTTGGGACTCGGTGGGTGCAGAGCTAGGCCGAGGGAGGGACAGATGCCTCTGGCAGCCCTCACTGGGCTGAGGAGGAGATTGTAAAAGCAACAAGAGGAGGAGGAGGAGAAGGAGGCGATTATCTCGAGGAGGGCAGAGCTGCCACAAGCCGATGGCTGAGGCTGCTGGAACGCGGGACGAGCCCACCGGGGAGTGTGCGTGTGTGACAGGGCGGGGGCCGGGGCTCCGAGCGAGGAGGTGCAGGAGCTGTGTGGACGCCTTTCTGCCAGCCTCGGGGAGACGGGGCAGCCTTTGGCGGTACCGGCCCAGAGCAGAGCCTCTCCCCTGGGCCTCGAGGTGTTCGCAGGAGAGTCCCGGGTTCCTGAGCTCTGATTGAAAACCCGTGAGTCACCTGAGCGGAGGTCGAAAGCAGCCGCAGAAGAGGACGGGCCGAGGGCAGAGGAGGAGCACAGGCTGCTCTGGGTCACAGAGGGCTCCAGAGGGTGCCCCAGCCCTGCCCTGTGCCCGCACCGCTCCTCCCGCCGCACAGGGACACATCCCACCCCTAATACTGTTAGAAAAAAAACCAAACCCAAACGCAACAAAAAAACCTCACCCGCGCCGTGCCAGACCCACACACTGTGGTGCCTGAACAAGGAGTCGAGGGGATGGTGACCCCCACAGAAACCGCTCGGAGCAAGAGGAGGAGAGAAAAGGCCACTCGAAGACTCGCCTTAGACAGCTCCGATCTCAGCTCCGAGAGCAGCAGGGAGAGATGGGGCACACCCAGCTGGAGAGGACGCGGTGCGAGGAGACGGGAAGAGGCGGGGGCCGGGGGTGCGGCGGGAGGTGCGGTGGGGTGCCATGGCTTCCGTTTGCAGCGGACGGGTCACGGGGGAAAGATCAGTGGGTGCGACCTTGGTGTCCTTCCCTGCGACAGTCTCGATTGGCTCCACTTAGATCCGGGGCAGCAGCTTCTCGATGAACTCCTTCACCGCCATCATCTCCTGCAGAGAGCACAGAGCCCGTCACTCCGGCGCTCCTCAAGGGCCATGCCTTGCCCCAAACGTGGGGGCACGAAGGCTGTGCAGCCTCCCCAGAGTGAATCAGGGAACAAACACATGTCCTGTGGGTTCTGGACTCAGCAATGTCCCTGCCCTGCCTGACCCACTGCGCCGGGGTCAGTCCCAAAGGTGAGACCAACCCCTGAAGGTCCCGTCCCCTCTCTCTGCCCCGAGGCACTGACCTGAGGACAGGAACTGTGCATCACACCGGGGTAGGTTTTGAACTGGACCTTGGTGGGAGTGACGACAGATTTCAGCTTTTCAGCAGTGAGGGCCCCGAAGCGGACTGGGATCATGGGGTCCATCTCCCCGTGGCACTGCAGGATGGCGATGTCCTTGTTCACGCCGTTATTCGCCGCCTGCAGCGAGGAAGGAAGCGCTCAGGGGTGCCCAGGAGACTGGATGCCAAGCGGGGAACGGGGCAGGTGCTTTATCTGCATCCCCATGCCCATCACCTGGCAGCTCCCCTCCTCAAGAGGGCTCTGGGAAAGCTGTTCACACAGCGCCTACTGCCCTGCCACCAAAGGCCTCCTCCCACGCTGCCACCAGGATTGAGCTGCTGCCCAGCGGGTGTGAGGAAGCCTGGGGAGCAGATCGGCTCGCAGATGCCCACACCAGATCGGTGGCAGAGCCCTGATCTCTGCTGTGCCCTCGCCTGCTCCGGGTCTCAGGAGCAAGGACACAGGATTAAGCCCCTGCCACAGGCACCTCGTGCCTCCCGCAGCCCCGGGCTCACTGCAGCAAACTCCAGAGGAGAAAATCCACCCCCCACCAACCCTCCCTGCAGACACGCGTGGCGGCAGCAGCGCAGGGTACCTGCGGGAAGGCCTTGTGCAGCGGGAGCCAGCAGCTGAGCGCCACGATGCCAGCCAGCTGGTGCTGGCAGGTGAGAGCTGTGTACAGCGACAAGGCACCGCCCTGCAGCAGGGGAGGAAAATCTGTTAGTGCCGGAGCAGGAGGATCGGCAGCCCTGGGATCACCCAGCATCCACCCGCCTCCTCGCCACAGACGCTCCCTTTGAGGGGTGTTTTCGGAGGGCGAAGAGGGGTCCCAACCCTCAGTCTGCTCCACCTCAGCCCCCCGCAGCCCAGCTCACCTGTGAGAAGCCCCCCAGGATGATGCGGTTGGGTGGGATCCCGTTCTTCATCTCATGCTCGATAATTGCTTTAACTGGAAGAAGACAGAGAAACAGGGTCAGTAGAAGGTGGAGGGGGGGCTGAAGAGCATCACCCGAGGCCTGGGGGTGCAGACAGGACACTCAGCACATCAGGGAGAGGCAGGTGCCAGAGGTCCCATGGACTGAACACACTTGGCTTTAGCCAGAAAGCAGGTGGGCTGGGATCACAGGAGAGCAGAAAGGAAGGAGAGGTGGAAGGAAGACATCCGCTTCTGTCCCAGTGAGGGAGAGGTGCTCAGGAGCTCAGGACTTCCCCCTCCCCAAAGTCTCTTACTGTTTTCTGCAGCTTTCTTGATTCCAGCTTCATCCTCAGGTGCATCCGGAGTCAACCCCATCAGGTCAAACCTGGGAGAAGCAGCAGGGTCAGCCCCAAACCTCTGCCAGCACCCAGGGTGTGGGGAGGCAGGAGCTGGGTTGCTCTGCCCTTCCCCTGACTCCTACAGGGCAGCGGATTTTGGCTCCAGTCCCCTTCCTCCCAGTCCCCAAAATACACCCCCAGAAGGGTGCCACCCACCACTGCCACCCAAAGCACTGACCAGGAGGGCATAACCATCTTCATGTTGAGGGTCACGGGGATCCGGGGCCTGGAGAAAAAACAGTTTGGGTGTTTTAGTTCAAGCGCAAGAGACGCAAGTCCGAGCCAAGGGGAGCACGGTGACCAGCCCTCCTGCCTGCAGCTGCAGGATGAGACTCCCAAGGGACAGCAGCAGGTCGGTGCCACCAAACCCAGCCTGGGGACTGCAAGGTGACCCCAGGGATCATCTATGAGCCCCAAGCAGATCCCAGCTGAGCTGGCAGCTCCAGGGCGTTGTCAAGCAGCCCGTCTGGGGAGGAGAGCACCTGGGTCCCTCTCCTGTTTGCTGCTGCCGAGCCAGGAGATGCTGATGGAGCAGCTGCCTCTGCTGCCGAGATGGGACACCGGGAAGCCGAGGCCCTGCTGCCGGGGACACTGCTGCAGCCGAGCTCTCCCTGCCCGGTGAGTGCCCCCCCTGCATGGGCTGCTATCCACCCTGGGGACACATTGGGGAGCATTTCCTTCCCTTTCTGCTGAGTGTCCTCCTGCCTGACCAGGGGAACGGGGAAGGAGCTGTGGTGCTTTTTGGCTTTCACTGCAGCCATCGGGGAGAGGCAGAGGGCAGGAGGGGGGAAGAAAACAGACTCAGAGCAGCAGCTCCCATGCTGATCGGCTCTGTGGGAAACGACTCTGCCTGCAGGCAGCAAATGTCAGGGCTGGGGCCCTGCACGAACTGGCCACAGCAGGAGAGCAAGCCTCACTGCACAGCCCTGCGGGTAGGTCAGGGCACAGGCCACCGTCTGCCTCTCCGAACAGTCTTGGCAGCAGGCACCAGTGTCACAGCCCACCCAGGCTCCCCAAGGCCCCTTCCCGAAGCAAGGACGGCACTTACGCGTGAGGGCAAATATATTTCACGTAGGGGAGGCGGATGGAGGAGAGAGCGTCAGCCCAGCTGTGCCTGGGGAGAGAGGAGAGGAGGAGTTCAAGGCTTGCCTTAGCACTTTGGAGGATGCTGGCGAAGGTGAGGGATTTCCCCCAAGGACAGGTTTCCTCCAAGGCTGCTGGCCCCCTGCCCTGACATTACTTTACCAGGTCCTGCCCACCCCGGCAGCCTGAATCCCAATGTGAATCCCCGGCACAGACCTCCTCTGCGGCAGGGCAAAGGCAGCACACAAAGCCCTGCAGCTGGAGGCAGAGGAGCTGCTAGCAGCAAGGGAGGAGGGAGAATCTCCTGCGCAGGGAAAAACCTTTTGTTACTGCTGTATCTCATGCTGTCCTCTAAGGTGGCCTTGCACATTAGAGCGATGCACTCGCGTAGACACAACCCAACTCCTCCCAGCCCTCCCAAGGACTGGAAAAACCGCAGTGCTTATCTGCTTGCCTTAAAGAAAGCAGAAAATCAAACCCGCAGGAGGCGGGGGGCTGCCAGGCTGCCGGGATCATAAATATTCAAGTGCAGACAGCTGCTGGCCGGCGATTCCCTGTGAGGGTGGCGCAGGCACAGCTATCGGACCGAGCTCAAAGCCCCAGACAAATCTCAGAGCTGCCCCTGGGGAAAGCAGCATTGGTGCTTGCAGCGAATGGCCGGGCCCGGGTCTGCTTTCAGCAAACCACGCGTCACAGCCAGAGCCAGCTCCAGGAATACTCACCCTGTGTCTCCAAGGCCATGTAAAAAAATGACCTGTTAAATTAAGCAGAAAAACAAAAGAATTAGCTGGTGCGACAGCCGGTGCCCTGGGAGAGAGGCAGGGCTGGGCTCGCAGGGAAGCGGCAAAAGGCCACTTAGTCACTAACTAGAAGAGACTCTAACAGGCAAAAACTAGCTGATGCTAATGACACAGTTTTGAGCATGACGGATGGGCGGAACAGGTACATCATCGTTATCGTGCCACAGAGCCTGCTGTCACAGCCAGGTCCATGGGCGTCATCGGCCCCTTGGCTGCCCAGCAGAGCAGAGGGCCAGGGAGCAATGGATCATCCTGCCAGGCTGCATGGCACCACGCTGAGCGGAGGCCGAGCTTGCCAAGAACTCACAAAACCCATCCCTACAGGCTTTTCACCTAAGGCTAGAGCAACCCCTAAGCAATAGGGAGAAGAGGGAAGGCAGCCTGCTGAGCCCCAGGGAAGGGCAGAGGATTTTCTTTGGGGGATTTGGCTTTAAAAGCTTAAATAGCCAAATCAGATCTAACTCCCACTGACTTCCCTGCAGGTCAAGCCTAGCTGTGAGGCTGCGCCCGCGCTTCTGCGCTGGACCAAGCACCAGAAACGAACAGTCCAGCCCAAAGGGCAGTTACTTTTCCCCAGTAAGACAAGACCTTGCTGGTCCTGCATCCCCTTTGATGTACCAGGATGCACATCTGAAGAGCTGAGGGATTACAGGTTCAGCTCATGGCCCCTCTGAACCCCACGGAAGCAGCTCCTTATTTTCAAGACTGCTAAAAGGGAAGAAGCAGGTGAGGCAGGAGGGGTCCGGCCCTTACCGCGGCAGTCTCCCGCTCTGCCCCTGAGACAGTCACTGCGTCAGCGAGGAGGGGGACAGACATGTTGTTACCACACATACACCGAGAGGGACTCAGACACTGGCACCTGCGGGACAGAGGGACAAAGGTAAGGCAGGAAAATAAACCCCTCTTACCCCTTGGCAACTATTTGCACCAGAGGGACCAGCTATTCGGAGAAAAATTAAAGAGTACATGAAGGCTTTGATGTTTAAGCCCTTGGGACAGCCCCACTCCATCCCTGGCCCAGCAACGCCAGAGAGCCAGGAAGCAGCAAATGATTCCCACATCGCAGCACCAGATGCGTGCGAGCAGGGATGCATGCGTGGGGTGTTGGAAGTGTTAAAATTAGCTCTTTCTGTTACACCTCAAAGCCAAAGTTATTTCTGTGACTGTAACGATGTGGGCAGAGGGCAGCCGGGCAGCGCGCAGCCTCAGCGTCCCTTCCCGGCTGCTAGCGGAGCCGAGGAGAAGCCTGACCCACATCTGCTCCGATGGTGAAGCAGGAAACGCCAGCCCTCCGCACGCAGCAACACAAGCTTTACAGCACTAATAAAAGGTCCAGCCCTCTTTTATGGAGCTGTTTAGGGATAAACCAGAGCGTTCAGGCGCTGGCCTGAGACCCAGCCCTACGCTGCCTCCCAGAGCCTGCGTCCCCCCGCAACGATGGCATCCCTGTCCCTCCCTGATGGGCAGCCAGCCAGGGCCACCACCTCTGTCCCCACCACAACAGCCTCCTGCCAGCACAAAGGGCTGATTGTCACCTCCCGGATCCCTGTCACCTGCAGAACGAGCAGCTCCGGCAGAACTAACAGCCCCCACGACACCACCTTCAGACGCGACAGTCGATGGTGTTTGTTCCCAGTCCGGTGCAAATCACTAAAACTACCGCTCCTCACGTGACAGGCCCTAACCACCACTTACCGTCCAGGACTAATTAGATCAGAGCACGCTTACAGCGCTGCCATCATCTCCCGGGAGCAAGATCAGCCTGCCGGCTACTGCTGGGAGCAAGATCAGCCCCCGTGGTCTGCCTGACTCTTCACATCTCACAGCAAGCACCACCCCCAGAGGGTTTTGGATGGCACGGGACCACCTGAACCCCCCCAAAACTCCCGGTACCCCAGCAGACAGCCTTACCCAACAGAAACAGCCGCCTCCTCTACCAGCCCGGGCCAAGACCTGCCCGACTCGTTTCACCAACTGTTCGTCAGCTGTTTGCCCGACGCAAATAAAAACACCGGGAACAACAAGCTCCTCGGGTCTGGCAAACCTCACAGACTCACAGCCCACGTGCTCATGTGTACTCCAGGGTCAAAACAACCAGTGAGGAAAAACAGCACCTGCCAAAAATCCCGGCGAGAAGAGCCATAAATAAAAGCATCTTCCATGACAGATGGAGATGCTGAAACGTGCTCCCTGAGCAGACACAGGCTCACGTCTTTGCCTTATTCAGAGGCTTCAGGGAAAGGAGGGGTTTCGAGGGTCAAGGCTGCCCGAAAAAAAACACGAGTCACCCGTGGAGACACCCGAGATTTCTCTGGGGTGTTTCTGCCCCACTCCCAGGGCATCTACAGGAGGGTCCAGGGCTCCCGCCACAAGAACAGCTTGAGCAGAGGCAGCCGTGAGGCCAAAACATAACACAGGAAGGATAAAGCCCCTGAAAGGGGTCTGTGCCTGAAAAAAAAGCACGCACACACACAAAAAAAGACGAACTTTTGAGAGATCTGTGTCCGATTCCAGCTGTCTCCGTAGCAGCCCCAGAGCTATCGCACCCCTCACCCATGAGAGCGATGCCAGCAGGAAACCCACAGCCGGGACCCGGCGTTACGCGTCGTCAGGAGGGGAGCAAATCGCTAATTGTTGTTTTATTAACGTGGCCCGGCCTTTCCCACTCCCGCAGGCCCAAAACCAGCCGGTGGCGAAGCGGCACGGAACCGGTGAAGGGAGAGAAAGGCAACAGGAGGCTGGAGAAATCCCGCCTGCCCCGGTTGGAAGGAGAAACCCAATTTTTGGTGGAAATGTTGGGGTTTTTTTTTGGGGGGGGGGGTCCTAAAGGCTG